CATGGTCATATTATTACTAAGAATAATGATTAGAATGAAAATACTGATAGCGAATCATGTGGATTATCAGTACTAATTATAGATGTAATCATGAAATTATTAGAAAATCAAATAATAAAAATATTTATAATAAGGGGAATTATGATAATGGCAACGACAATGATAACGATAACAATGATAAGATATATCAATACCATTGCTAGCGGTATTAATATTAATTGCAACTGCAACTGATATCAGTGGCAGGAATAATTACGGAATTATGATATCTTGTGTAATCAATGAAAAATAATATCTAATAAGTTTAAAATCTTACTACACCGTATACAGCGTGAGTAATGACAATAATAGTAATAAAAACAAACGTCTATGCATCATGAAAGACATTGAATATGGACTTCTGTCGCGCTAGCGTGCAGGATTGTATGTGTGTGCGCGCTTGTGTGCATATGTACAGCATACTGAATATTTAAGGATAAACATGTTGATATATGTATTATATATAATATGCATATTTCTCTCTCTCTCTATATATATATATACATGTGTATATCATATAGATGTGTGTGTGTTAATGTGCGTATGTAGGCATTATTACTGTACGTAACACCTATATTGCTTGGCAGGAAGTGAAGGGCGATATTACCAAGACATTCCATTCACAGAGGGCAAGAGTAGTTCAGTTAAACTCGCCGACTGCTGCTACGAAAGCAGTGGCTGCTAATAGTAACACCAACAGAAAAAGTGGCATTTCAGGCAGAACAGAAGAGTATAAAGTAAGATTAAATTTCTGTGACCTTTACAACAGGGACACATGCAGCGTGAAATATAGAAACCTACATATCTTGGAAACAGACACCTGTCAGGCATTTTACTTGGCATTGAAAAAAAAAAGTTGACCAGTCAGTTTCTGTATTGAGGTTATAAAAAAAAATAATGTAAAGACAAAAGTCATGTATGGATGACAAAAATCAAAGGAGCAAACAGAAAGAGACAGACAAGCGTACACACAAACGCAAAGGACAATAATACTAATTATCTGGATATGGTATAAAGAGAGTATAAAATTTTGATGGCATTCAAATGTATTGTTTATTCTGAATTTTAGATTTATCATTGATTTTATTTCCATACGTTATTTACTGGGTAACCTTAAGTATAACGGAATAACATCGGTTTCCAGAAATCCTGCCATATGTTGCTACTAGTGTATATACCTATATACATACATGTACATACACACACACACACACACATATATATATATATATATATATATATATATATATATACATATACATATATATAAATATATATATATATATATATACATATATATGAATATGTATATATATATATATATATATATATATATATATGTTTATGTGTGTGTGTGTATGGTTATATGTATATACATATACATACACAGAAACATACGCACGCATGTGTATTTATATTCATATACATGCATATATATATATATATATATATATATATATATATATGTGTGTGTGTGTATTATATATATATATATATATATATATATATATATATATATATATATGTGTGTGTGTATTATATATATATATATATATATATATATATACATATGTGTCTGTTTGTGTGTATGTGTGTGTGTGTATATACATACAGAGACGCACACACACACGTGTGTATATATATGTGTATGTATATAGATAGATATATCTGTATGATATATAACATCATATATATGTGTAATATACAGTATATATACATATATATACTGCATTTATATGTAGGTATATATTTAGACATACATGTATGTAGGTGTATATAGGTAGACATATATGCATGTTTGAATTATATATCATATGTCATTTATAGTTACGCAGATAGATTATGTGTATATATATACATTTATACATATGTATATATAGACGTACATATACAATGTGCACACACACACACACACACACACGCTCTCTCTCTCACACACACACAAACACACACACACACACATATATATATATATATATATATATATATATATATATATATATATATATATATATGTCTATGTGTGTGTGTGTATGTGTGAGTATGATATATAATATATATATATATATATATATATATATATATATATATATATGTATATAAATATATATATAAATATATATATATATATATATATAAATATATATATATATATATATATATATATATATATATATATATATATATATATGTATATATGTGTGTGTGTAGGTATCTATCCATATATATATGTAGGCATTTACCCATATATATGTAGGTATTTATACATATATATATATATGTATGAATGTGAACCGTATTCATGTCGACGAATGTAGAAAAGGTATGAATGAGAATGAGTATCTTCACAATACAACAGATGTATTTGACGGGTTTCGAATTATATCATCGTCAGAAATACATGTATTTCTGACTAAGATATAATTCGAAACCGGTCAAATACATCTCTTGTATTGTGAAGATACTCATTCTCATTCATACCTTTTCTACATGTATGAATGTATTACATATATCATTTATATATAAAATACATAAATACACACACACATACAGACTCACATACACACACACACACACACACACACACATATATATATATATATATATATATATATATATATATATATATATATATATGTATATATATATAATTTATACATATTCATATACACATACATACACACACATACACACACACACACACACACACACATATATATATACGTACATACATAGATATGTATATCTATATATTTAAATATATGTTTACATATATACATAAATATGATATATATATATATATATATATATATATATATATATACATATATACATATATATGTAGGTACAGTATGTAGTAAATATCATATATCACTTATAGTTATATTTATAGTGATAAACAAAGCAATATTTATACACATATCTTTACACATGTATACATATAAATTTATATATGCATATATATATATATGTATATATGCATATATATGTGTACACACACATATATGTACATATATATGAACACACACACACACACACACACATATATATATGAATATTTGTATGGGAGTATGTATAAATACATATAAATGTATGTGTATATATACATACATAACTTCATTCATGTATTCGTAAATAGCATAAGGATTACGTTCACTTTTGAGCACACAGTTTGCATAACCGATTACAAGTTTTTCCAAAGTCTTTCATAACTGGCCAAGGTCAGGATAAGGGTGTGGCTTCTGCCGTACAGCGTCGTTTAGGACAGAGGAGTATATAAAGGAATAAGTGATTCAACTTACCATCACAAAGTAGTTAGCACTACAGTTGCAGCAATGAAGATACTGGTGAGAATTATGATTGTCTATATCTAAGTAAATACACAAACAAAATGAGTGACTATATGTAAGTTTGTCTTTATTTTTTAAGTGTAATAATGCTTGCGAGTATGGGCATGTTTTTTCATAATAATTTTCTTCAGATCGCCGTGTTGTTGGTCGCCTTCGTGGCAGCAGAGCAGAAGCGCGAAGCTGAGCCTTCCTTAGGCCTCCACTACCCTCTGGCCTACGGGTTCTATCCATATGCCAGGCATTCCTACCTCAGCACCCACGGCCACATCCTTCACAAGCGCGACGCCGAAGCCGACCCTGGCTACCTTTTGGGAGGAGGTCTTGGCCTAGGCAACGCCTATGGTTATGGCCTCACTTATGGGCTTGGCTATGGATATCCATTAGGTCACGTCTCCTACCACGCCGCCGGCCACTCTATCGGCAAGCGTGAGGCTGAACCTGCCTTGGCACACGGCCTACTTAGCCACAGAGCATCCTACGGCTACACCCCTTCCCTCCTCTATCCAGGGATCGCCCATTCCTACCAATACAATCGCGCCTTCACTCCGCTGATCTACGGATAATGAGACTATATGACATTGTTCTTCCTACTGATATGAATATATGCATTGCATAATGGAAATTTGCACAATGACACTATCACATAAACAATGTCTTTAATTCATTAAAAATACTACCAATACAAGGACTGTTATTGTCGTAAACTAGTACCGAGTCAGGCCCTAGCTACAGTAATAATAAATGATTATGATAGTAATTGCTATAGCTAGTGTAGTGATGGCAATAATAACTGTAAAATATGTACATGAATATGATATATATGTACCTACAAAAGTAAAATCTTAATAATTTTTACAATATCATTGCTAGTGATACGAGTAATAATAACAATGGAAATCACGATTAAAAAAATCATAATATTAATAATGGCACTGTTCCTTAAATTGATAATAATGGCAATACAATGGTAAGGATTACATTATGTAATATCATTCATGATAATGATTACAAAAGTTAAAGGATGAAATTAATAGATATCAATAGTAATAACAAGAAAAAGCAACGAATGAGATGATAACAATAATCCTTCAAGAGTGATAACATTAATAAGAATCACACAATTATAATAACAAGAAAATAAAATAGAGAATACACTCACGGGAAAAAAAAAATATCAATGGAACTTTTACAAACATTAAAATAAAAAAATGCCACTTGAAATAATAATAATCCGCATAAGATGCGTCACAAAATATTCTTGGCCAGAATACATATAATTAACACGTACATCACGAAACATATTGATAAAATACAAAGTGTGAGATATAAGAGGTTCAAGTGGAACTAATAAAGAGCAATATTTGATATCTCGCTCCTAAAGTGTAGAATCCCTTACATGCTTCCTCTATTAATCTCTTTATTATATATACTTTTTTTTTTTTTTTTTACTAATATCATTATTATTATATATATGATATATATATATATATATATATATATATATATATACATATATTTGTATGTATGAATGTATGCATAAAGTAAAAAAAAAAAAAAAGCACAAAGCACAAACTAGATTTATTGATAATGAGACAATAGTTTCAAAATCCATCTGTATATAGACATATATGTGTGTGTGTATAGATAGATAGAGAGATAGATATATGTACGGGTGTATGTATTCATATATATGAATATATGTATATATATATATTTTTTTTTTTTTTTTCTTTTTCTTTTTTTTTTGCAACAGCAATTCAGTCTATTGCAGGACATAGGCCTCTCTCAATTCACGAAAGAGAAGTTTTTGGGCAGTGCCAGCCTTGCCTGATTGGATGCCCTTCATAATCAACCGCGGTTCGGCGCCGTAACACTTATGCCACGGTGGCGACTTCCCCTAAATACACCTGTGTGTTTGACTTCTCAAGGCGACATGACGTTTTCTGAGATAGGCCTTGAGTCAGCAGTCAGAGTGCAGGCCTTTTTACGACTGCCGCGACGAGGAATTGAACTCGGGACCCTGAGGGTTGGAGTCTAGTGCTCTAGCCATATATACATATATGCCATTGCGGCATATATATATGTCATTGTGGCATATATATCTATATATATATATGCCATCGCGGCATATATATATATATATTATATATATATATATATATAAATGTATATATATATATATATGTCATTGCGGCATATATATACATATATACACACACACACACACATATATATATATATATATATATATATATATATATGCCATTGTGGCATATATATCTATATATATGACATCACGGCATATATATATATGGATATATATATATATATATATATATATATATATATATATATATATTATATATGGAAATATATGTGTATATATATGTGTGTGTGTATGAGTGTGTGTTTTGTGTATATGTGTGTATAATATATGTATTTATGTTAATGTATATAAATATGCATATAATACATATGAAACACAATAAATATCCATTTATTATATATACATGTACACGGACCTACAAACAAATATATGTTTATGTATATATATATATCTATATATGCATATGATATATATGAAATACTATATATATATATTTATTATACATACATGTATACAGATCTACAAAAAAATGTATGTGATATATATATATACATATACATGTGGTATATACATATGTATGTATATATATACATACGTTTGTAGGGCTGTGTAGATGTACAGGTAATAAATGATATATTTATTGTATATCATATATATTATATGCATATATATATATATATATATATATACATATAGTATATATGATATACATTATATATTTATATATATATATATATATATATAAACATATAGTATATATGATATACAATACATATTTATATATATCCATTTATTGCATTTACATCTACACAGACCTACAAACATATACATACATATGTAAATTTATAAAATACATACGACGATTTCGTATATATGCAATTTATATATATGTGTGTGTGTGTGTATGTATGCACACAAGTATTCCAAATTAATCAAGTTTTAGACAAATGGAGAGCAAGAACATACATAACATACATAACTGAATGCAACGAGATTTTCCAAAAGCTACTATAAATGGCCAAGGACAGGATATGAGTGTGGTTTCTGCCGCTCAGCGGCATTTAGGACAGAGGAGTATAAAAAGGGGTAAGTGGCTGAACTCGTCATCACATTGCACTCAGCACTACAATTGCAGTCATGAAGATTCTGGTGAGCGATGCTAATACGTAATCATTCTATGTATAAGTACACTCGCTGATAGGTGAATTTGTGTGACTTAATTTATAAGTGTATTTGTAAATGCTTTCGTAGAACAATTATTATTTCATAAGTTTGTGATACCGATGTTGTGTATATAAATATACTGATATTTCTATGCTTTCACCAACAGATCGTTGTGTTGTTGGTTGCCTTCGTGGCAGCAGAGCAGAAGCGCGAGGCTGAGCCTTCCTACGGCCTCCACTACCCCCTTGCCTACCCTTATGGTGTAGGCCTAGGTAGTACTTACGGGCTCTACCCATATGGCAGTCACTCTTTCCTCAGTACCCGCAGCCATGTCCTTCACAAGCGCGACGCCGAAGCCGACCCTGGCTACCTTTTGGGAGGAGGTCTTGGCCTAGGCAGCCCCTATGGCTATGGACTCCCTTATGGCCTTGGCTATGGATATCCATTAGGTCACGTTTCCTACCACGCCGCTGGTCACACTATCGGCAAGCGTGAGGCTGAACCTAGCTTCGGCCACGGCCTTCTTAGCCACGGAGCATCATACGGCTACACCCCCTCTCTCCTCTATCCAGGGGTCGCCCATTCCTACCAATACAATCGCGCTTTTACTCCACTTATCTACGGATAGTGATAATATTGTTCTTCATCTGAATATGATTGAATGAAATACATTGTAAGAAGTCTGCACATTGATGTTTTAAGCACATTAATATCAGCATTTCATTAAAGTTGCTATTAACTACAAGTACATTCATTGTCGTATACTATATATTGAGTAATAGGGAAGCTACAATAATAATACTTGATAATGATGATAATTGTTATTATCACTATATATATATGATTAGATAAATGCAGAGATATAATTGTTGTTATAGTGTTACCAATAATACTGAAAAGATAATAACTAAAATCATAATGACAGTAACACCACTACTAGTAAAAGCAATTAAACTAATAATGATAAAAGTGAAAATAATATTAGTGGCAGTACTCCTTAACGAATAATGATAGTAATATTGACAGTGATGAAGATTGTATTATTAAAGGAAATCAGTAGAGATGTTTAGAATAGTGATTACTAGAGTGATACAATAAGACTAAGAGATATTATTGGTAATATCAAGAAAAACAACAACTGGCTGCAATGAATAGGACAATAATCCTATATAGTATTTATATTAATAATAATCATAACAATATTACTAATGATAATTAACAGAAATAACAGTTACAATTATAATGAAAACTTAATTAAATGCATATAAAATAACTGCAGTATACTAATTCATTACAATTTGGTAAATCTGAATAAAATTCACCTCTCAGTATCTCACAAAATATACTCACCCATAATACATGTAATGAAGACACCACATACATCGTGCAACATACTGATAAAGTATATGAACCGGTATCCACGAAAGTTCTTAGACAGTTTTGAGACGATTCTGAGAATAAAGTTTCACATTGTCTCAAAAGTATCTCCAGCGCTGTCAATTATGAAATGATTAACAAACATTAAATTAATACTTTTGTACTGCTCAATATAACGTATATAAGGTTTAATCAGTTATTACACTAATGTAGTCAGGCCTCTTCTATCCAGGGTAGTCTCGAACAGAGGCTATCTGATGGGCAGGATCATCCTATGGGAAGCGAGTCAAGTGGCCTATTAGCCTGAGTTGGCGATCGCAGATTGTGCAGGTAATAGGTCCTGTATCAGTCTCACGGTGCAACTATTGGTTGGACACATGGTCCCGTCAACTATACTCCATGATCTGGCACATGGACCTGCTACATACGGCATCAAGGCGAGATTCCAAAGCACAAGACAGTGTCCAGGTTTCACCATATAGTAAAATTGGCAGTATCAGGGTCTTGAAGACACGTAGCATGGTCTTTCTGCACAGGTACCGGTCCTGGTTTGACAGTCCAAAGTCATGAACTACACTACCGAGGTATATAAAGCTCTCTGTGACCTCGATGTTCTCACTGCAAGCACGTACCAACTGAACAGGATCTCCCAGCAGGCCCCCAAAATCCTGTATCTTGGTCTTGGCCAGGAGACGTCTAGCCCCAGGAGCTTTGCTTCATTGCTAAATGCATCAAAAACCGCCACTAGTGTTTCCAGAGACTCGGAGAGAATAGAAACATCATTAGCAAAGTTGATATTGCCCAGAGTTGCCCCACAGTGACTTAGAACAGTGGCTCTATCCAGTACCCAGCCCATGCAAGTGTTGAAAAGTGTTGGTGCAAGAACAAAGCCTTGCCTCACTCCTGAACCAACAGGGAAGATCACAGGCCCCCACCATACTTGACATTTTCAGTACCAGTATACAAGCTTGTTATTAATCCAATAATCCTTGTTGGAATTCCTCTCAGTCTCAAAATCTCTCAGAGTGATTTATGATGCACTGTATTAAACGCCTTCTTGACGATGATGTAGGGTGTAAGCAGCCCACGCCCGAACTCACGTCGGCGCTCTACAATGACTCGAAGCGACAGGATATGGTCTATTATGGACTTACCTGGAGTGAACTCAGATTGCTCCGGCCCCTGGTGCCTCAGCAGGTGGCCTCTGATACGTCTCTTAGGGATGTGAGCTTCAGTCTCAATACCGTTATACGCTCATCGACTGGAGTGACCTCTACTACCGAGGGTTGAAGTTTGCTGGAGATGGTTATGGCTACTCCCTGGAGATGACGTCCATCGCTGCGGCCCGACCAGTAGAAAATGTAGCCTGTATCAAAATATTCTCAACTGCTCAGATTTGCCTCAACTTTGTCCCAAAATATTTTAAACTGAAAAAATTTGTCTCAACTCTCGCAAAATGTAAGACAGGTGGAACAGTCTCCTAAGTCCTGAGAATAGACTCAGACAGTTTTCCAGTTTAGAGGCCTATATATGTATATGTGCATGCATATGTGTGTGAATATATGCATATATATTTATATATTATATACTATATGCACGTCTATACCTATAATATATCAATCTATATATATATGTGTGTACATTAAATCATATATATATATATATATATATATATATATATATATATACTATATACGTACCTATATATATATATACATATATACGTACATATATATATATATATATATATATATATATATACATATATATATACATATATATATATATATATATATATATATATATATATATATACGTACACACACACTCATATATATATATATATATATATATATATATATATATATATATATTGATTACTTATTTATATCATATAAAAATATACATGCACCTACACGCATGTATATAAACATAGCATATATATATATACATACATATATAT